CTACCTCTGCTCTTATTTTCCCGGCCAGCTCAGGACTCCAGCACCCTGTCTTGCTGAGCCAGACACTCCCGTCTGCTCCAACACAGACCCAGGGTTTGAATTACTTGCTCCACAGCTGCAGGTTTACCTGAAAACAGCTCACAGAAGTTAGTTGGGTTAGACTCCCAGTGGGGTCTAAACCCAAATAAATCCGTTTTACCCTGTATAAAGCTTATGCAGGCTAAACTCATAAATTGTTCACCCTCTATAACACTGATAGAGAGAGATGCACAGTTGTTTGCTCCCCCAGGTATTAATACATACTCTGAGTTAATTAATAAATAAAAAGTGATTTTATTAAATAAAGAAAGTAGGATTTAAGTGGTTCCAAGTAGTAACAGACAGAACAAAGTAAGTCACTAAGCAAATAAAATAAAATGCATAAATCTATGTCTAATCAAACTGAATACAGATAATATCACCCTCAGAGATGCTTCAGTAAATTTTTTCCTCAGACTGGACCCCTTCCAGGCCTGGGCACAATTCTTTCCCCTGGTACAGCTCTTGTTCCAGCTCAGGTGGTAGCTAGGGGATTCCTCATGATGGCTCCTCTCCCTCTTTGTTCTCTTCCACCCCTTTATATATCTTTTGCATAAAGCGGGAATCCTTTGTCTCTCTCTGGGTTTCCACACCCCCCCCTTGCTGGAAAAGCATCAGATTAAAGATGGATTGCAGTTCATGTGATATGATCACATGTCACTATACGACCCCAAGCCTTCATTCCTTCCAGCCTGACTCACAGGAAGCCTTGCTTGCAAACAGAGCCCCAGTCAATTGTCCTGGTTGATGGGAGCCATTAAGATTCCAAACCACCATTAATGGCCCACACTTTGCATAATTACAATAGGCCCTCACAGTTATATTTCATATTTCTAGTCCCAGCTACGAGAGTGGTACAGTTATACAAATAGGATTACCACACTCTGTAGATTATAAGCTTTGTAATGATACCTTACAAGAGATCCTTTGCATGAAGCATATTCCAGTTACATTATATTCATTCATTACCATATTTTTATAAAACCACATAGACTGCACAATGTCACACTGCCCTCATTAGGGCCTGCAGCTGGGCTCCCTGCTAAGGGTCTTGACCCATACACCTAGGGTGACCAGACGTCCCGATATCATTGGGACAGTCCCGATTTTAGGGGACTTGTCCCGTGTCCCGACCAATGTAAGGTCGGGACGTCTGGTCACCCTCTATGAGGGGGACGGCGGCAAGCCAGCGCCGCTGGCGCCACTCACCTTCCCTCCCTGGGCCCTGGGGCAGCACGCAGTGAGCTCCCGGCGCGGCGGCGCCAGCCCACGGGGACCCCTACCTGGCCGGCAGGAGCCTGCAGAACGCAGCCCTGCCCCTGCCCCGGCACACAGAGAGGCAGTGAGGAGGTCTCGCTCCCCTGTGTGCTGCAGCAGGGCGGGGCCTGTAGACTCTGGCAGCAGTCAGTGGTCGCTGGGCAGATAGCCCCCCCCATCCCTGCCCCCCTCCCCTCGACCCGACCTGACCCTAGGAAGGGGCCAGAGGGACTAGGAGGGACCTGCCTGATGGATGCTTCCTGGGAGCCGCTCCAGGTAAGCACTGCTGGGCTCACCTGGCCCCCTGGCAGGTCTCTCTGGGGGAGGCTCCCCTCAGACCCACTGCCCTCAGGCCCCACCCTGACCCTGTTCCCTCAGCCTCCCCCGCAGTCCCCCCTGTGACCCCCAATCTCAATCCACTGCCCTAAGCCCCCCGACCCTGTTCCCTCTGCCTCCCCCACAGTCCCTCCCCTCCTCCCGATCATCTCACCCGACTCACTGCCCTCAGCCCCCACCCTTAGCCTGTTCCCTCAGCCTGCCCCGCAGTGTCCCCCTTGTGCCCCCCACCCTCAATCCACTGCCCTCAGTCCCTGCTCCTGTTCCAACAGCCTCCCCCACAGTCCCTCCCCTCCCCCCTCCCCCCCGATC